TTTTTTAAAAAAAAAAAAACTTCTAAGTATGCACTATAATGAAAAGAGAAAATTATACCTACCCTCACTGTGGAAATGCCCATAGGACACTTCCATATTCATAGCTTACCATTATTTCAGTAGAGTCCCAAAATTAATTTATCATCAGTCTTAAAATACTCTTCCCTTTCCCTGCTGCCTTATTTCTGTCTCATGGGCACATTATGAATGTTAATTATTTTAGTTACCCACAGTCTTCATTGTAACATTCCCTTTATTTAGTCTATTCAATTCCTATGCTTTCTTCTTTTAAAATGTCTCCCAAATGTTTGCTTTTTATTACCCAAATTCAGACTTTTTTTAAATCTTAGATTACTGAAATAAGCTGTTAGATAACAGTTCTTTCTCCATCTTTTCTCTTCATTTGTCTGAACATTTGGATATATAATAGGGGGAAAGCATTTCTGAGCAGAGAGAATACCATTGATACAGGCACCAGGATTTGAGTCTAGACCAGTGCATGAAAAGCAAGGAGTTAAGTCAGGAGCCATGGGAGTATGTGAAGAAGTGAAGGTAGAAATGGTGGGCTAACAGTGAGGACACTGTTTAGAGTTAGAACTTTATCCTGAGATTTTAAGCTGGGTGGTGACTTTAAACAGTATTTTTTTTTAAATACGTAAAGTGTATTATTGTCATGGGGTTATTTATGTCATTGATCTAATGTACTCTTCTGGTATTTTCACAAGTTTTTTATTTTAAAAATTATATTGCTTTTCTCATTCAATAAACATTCATTTGCTTATTTTTTAATACTTACTAAGCATTACTGATTTATTACTAAGAAAAATATTTAAGAAAATTAAACCTAAAAATTTTTTGATGTAGGATATTCCAGAAGATATTCTTAAGAATTTAGTGGAAGAGCTTCCTCAACCACGCAAAGTACCTAGACGTCTAGATGAGTACACACAAGAAGAAATAGAGGCTTTTCCAAGACTGTGGTCTCCGTAAGTGTTTCTTTACTCCTTCCTTTCCTTCTTTTTTTTTAAAGTTGAATTTTATATTCTCCGTGTGCTCAGACAAATGGTAAGATCCTTGAGGGTGGAATGAGTGAACCCATTTCTTTACTCACTTGGAAACTCTCTGCAGCTACTACCTATGAATAAGCTCTAGATGTAAATGTTAAAACCAAAAGTCTAAGCCTTAAGACCTTGCTGGGTAAGTGCAAGGATATTCATAGGTGCCTATAATTGTCAGAGATTTTGTTTGAGATGATCTTACTTGGAATTATCTTCGTCTTTTGGAATGATAAATAAATTGTCATTAACCTAAAACAAGGTCATTCTTAGTTTTCCAGATTGCTTTGTAAGCCAAGAATGTCATCTAATGAAAAGTCCTTAATTCTGGATACTTGCAGATAGTCTTGATACAAATAGAAAAACAAAATAAAAAAAAAATACTTCTTGTTCTCCTCCATACAATTCCTCTACCTAAGTTCTATAAAACTGCTAAGATTTGATATGCTGTCTTTCATCTAATTGTTTCCAGGCTTCTTTGCCTGGGGTGTACAGATGATGAAGCATCTAAATGTAACTTCCTCAGGCAGTCCTTCCTGTAATCTGAACTGGGTTAGGCTCCCCATTACAGGGTTTCATTGTGCTCTTTCCATTTACTGCATTTGTTGTAATGTAATAAAATATTTGTGTGATTATCTGTTTAATATCTGTTTCCCTTAACAGATTTCATGAGGGAACTACATGTTTGTCTTGTTTAGCACTAAGCATGGTGCCTGGCACATTAAAAAAGTAAAAAGTAAATTAAAAAAGCAAATATTTATTGAATGAA